GTCTGCCTAATCAATCTTTGCTATGTCAGGTGCCCCATGATTTGCATTCGTTTGTTCACAATGTGTCATTTTTTGATTTTATTTTAATTTAAATACACAAACATATTTCTGCAGACACAATATTGTAATATATCCTAATTTGCTGCAATCATCCCAAAACTTATGACTATTATTTTTCTCCTTTTCGTGTGCGTTTGTATGGGAGAGTATTTTTATTTTAGACCTTGCCGATTTTACGGAGTCTTAGCTCCTCCTACTTACTGAGTTGGCACGATTGAACCTTTACTAACGATCAAAAATTGTTTTCAAACAAGGGGATACTCGCATTCTTTTGGATATCTCATCAGGATTGTAATGCCGAATCGAGGATTGATTGATTATGCTCATCTGCGCCTACGTGAAGCTCATCCTGGGCCCAATCAATATAAGCTGAAACCAGTTATTGGAGCAAATTCTGATAGTTTGAAGAAAAGCATTTCCAATCGCATCAAAGGTAACGCCACGTCTTCAGCGAACGCAGCGACGGTGGGTCCTGGGACGTATCTCATCGCCTCCAGTATTGGCACCGGACGCGCGGCGGATTTCAGTCCGCACTCAGCGAATAATGATGCAAAAATGTCTCCCTTAATGAGAAGTCCAACTCTCGCTTTCAGGGGTGATTCTGCAAAGTCAGCGCGCAGGTCGCGTAATGCGTCCCCACACTTTTCAAGGTCTTCGTCAGAGATAAAGAGGAACACTTCTAACGAGGAGCGTCATTTGGTTCCCGGTAGCCCTGCATTTACCATAAGAGGACGCCTAAAGGGCTATTTTGATGTGACGCCCGGTAATACATGTCTAGGCACTTATACCCTTCCCAGCTGCTTCGACAGCCCATCACGAAAAAACCCATTAGATGGAACCTTTGGTGGGCGCCATGAGGCACCTGAAGAACGAGAAAAAAGATATATTCCAGGTCCTGGCACATACAATGCAACACCCCTAGATAGCGCGAGAGCGATAAGGATACTTGACCGCACTGACCGCTGTGCTAGTCGCGGTCAAGGGAAAGAGGGATCTGGCCATATGGGTGGGCCCGGCCCTGCCGCGTATGGGGACCCCACTACCATCGCCCATCGCCTGCGGAAGCAAATTCCTGCTTACCAGCAATGGACAGGAGTGACCACGTTTGCTAGCCGTCCAGATTCCTCACTAGAGGAATTCCGTAGCAGCATGACCCCCGGGCCGGGGGCGTATAACTTAGCTCAGGCTTCTGACTTTCTCGATTTGCACAAAAATCATTCCACAGTAGTGTTGCGACCTGCCACGGTTTCCAGTGAATCAGCACGTCAGGCGGGTCGGTTAAAAGGCACGAACAACGGTAGTGGCGACAGTGGACAAGAAACAAGGCCACTATCCCATTATATTACACTACCCTCAGACTTTGATCACGACTGTCGTAAAGGCGTGCCAATGTTGGGCCGGAATTGGGCGGGATGCTGCAATCCCAGTAATAAGGTACATGCAAATGATACCACTAAACTCCAAAATACTACGCGTTGTACAAAGAAAACTGAGTCATTTCATCTGGCCGATCGATTCTTGCGGACGTTACCAGCTGGGGGACGCTTTGCATCGCACCCCTATGGTGCAGAGCCTTCCGAGCGTATCCGCAAACATACTGTTTCGGAAACTGATGGAAAAGATATGAAGTCCTTGGATCAGGATGTGAAGAACTCAATCCCAGGACCCGGGAGCTATGATCCAAAGCTTGATGCCGTTCTTCCGCGAACCACATGCGCCATCTTGAGTGGAAGCCCACACGCAAGTGCGGGGGCAGCCTATGGCGAACTGACCGCTGTAAGCTCCGCAGCCCAGCAGCTCGACGCGAACGGTGTGAGTTTAACGGGGAAGCAAAAGAATCCCTCGCCCGGTCCTGGCCACTACTACCCAGACCACACGGTTACCTACCCCAAAGTCAGTGCAACGACGTTCAGCAAGGGGGACTTTCATGTGCGGAATGGAATGCCGCCCTGGGCTATGACGGAGGCCGCGTCCCGTCCCGGCGCGGGGGCGAACTATAATGACACCACATTGTATAGTCGAAGTATCACAGGGGACGTGATGCACGGGATTCATGCTAAAACCTTCGGTACGAGGTACCCTGCGCGAGCTTTGTATCAGGTGTGCAAACAGCGAGATGAAACCACGAACACTAATTGCATTTACCCAGACGAGTACGCGTTTTATTTTGGTTCGATTGAAACTAATGACAAAACTGTAAAATAAGCTAGACATGAAGATTCGTTGGAGAGTCTCAACGATTTACGTATACGGGGTTTTCCATAAATGCTCGATCCACTACCTCAAGATTTTATTACATTCTGAACTACCGAAATGGCACCTTTAGGCAATCAATCCGTAGTCGCTGGAGGTAATAAGGAAATCTGAAGTAGTCAATACAAAGGTTGTGGTAGAAAATCTTTGAATTCATTCAAGATAGCACTGATAACGTTTAGAAGTGCAAGCTCTTCGTTTCGATTGAATATTTCAGATTGATTGTTAAACAATAAATTGTAAATTGATCTAACGCTATTTCATGTTTCATGTAAATTCTACACATCCTGCGTGTCAGGTATAAAGGGCAAATATATTTACGTTTGTGCGTTTGTGGACTTTCTAAAATTGGAATTATAATGCAAACAAATTGTTATACTTACGCGGCTCTATGTCAAATGAAAATCAGGTTAAGATATTTGAGGTGGTGTTTTATACATTTCGAAACGCATGTCTGGTAAATGCTGGGTCGACGAGTTAGTCTCTTTTGTGTCACATCATAATCGAACATGCATAAATCGTACCCGCACCAAAAATGAAATACATGTATATGTTAACGCCTTGGAAAGGTGTTTCTTAATAACTAGCTCTTTCTATTGAAATCAGTCTCATCTTATGGGCAGAATTTAGTTTAAACTGTCTGATCAGAGCTAACCTTGTAGTACTTCTTCTGTCGTTATGATACATCTTTTTCCCCTTTAATTGGACCCGGTTTAGGATTTAATGTCAGCTCATCAAAATACAATATGGATCCTAAAAAGTGATAAACATGTAGTTCACATTGGTAAAAGCCGAAGGCTTTATCGAAGTAATACCTAAACGAGTCTCGTATATCTGCAGAGGATCACACTATATCCGATATAAATTTAGCTCCTTCCTCTGAAGATGGCACGGACTTCGTTTACCTTCATGTACATTTTGGATTTGCGAGCGTGTCGCAGGGGCAAAACAATAAGTAGCACAAGTTTCACATGCTAAAGTGAGGCGGCGTATCAACTGCAGCAGGACACACACAGGCTCTCTGTACGTTGGAGAAACTTCAAAGATAGGCAAAAACTTTGAGCTTGTTGGTATCGGCTCAGCAACTCCACTTATGTCGCAATTATTCATATCTTAAGAACAACGCACGTATGGATTAAAAGTAATACAAAGATGGCTTTTTTGATGACAAGTCTGTGTGGCAGTATAAATGCCAAAACAAGAGAGCTCTTCACTTCCTGCAACCATTGCTGGAGTAGATGTTGTTGCCTTACTAGTGTCAATGAATCTTAATCATGAAGCGTACAAAAAACTGAATGAGAACTGATAGACAAGGCATATAGCTCAAGATTTTTGGTTCATAGCACTATCATAGGCCTCATCTGTGATCATTTGGTAGAGGAAAGTGATACCAGACGAACGCCTTTGGTGGACCGAACAATTGGTGTGGAAGCGTGCTATTGCGGCGTTTCTTACGCCGACTATAAGAAGGCTAATGATGCTGTCCCACTCAAACCATTACCCATCTTAAAAACATGACATCCATATTCCTAGAATCCTATCGTTACTATGGGTCCCACTGCTCTACCATTCCACCATCTATTATATTTACATTTGGTAGACTTCTTATTCATTCAGCTATACAAAGAGCACAAGTATAATCCCTCAACTTGCTTAATCAGATAAATATATCTTCAGAGAAACCATACGTCTGATTAATTGTGTGAGAATGCTGCGAATTCTTATTGCTTTCCCTCGGCATTGTCTAAAAGGGAGCTCCCAGAGGACGAAAAGGATAACTCCCTTTAGACCCACACCGGAAAGCTCCAACGTCAGGCCCATCACGTTTTATTGCTTTCTCTCCTGCCTTGTTATTTTGTTGTTTTTGTTGACCCAACTACCCCTTGTGAAGGCGACTCTTATGGCATCCTCCAATATTGAGTACTGCACTAATGATGGAAAGAATCCGCTGAATTGTAAGAAGAAGTTGGTGGTTACGCTGTCCGTGGATCCGAAGCAGCAAGAAGGCTCTGAGGAAGTGGATTTTGTGAGGTCTGCAAGCGATATAACGCAAGAAACTCCAACGAAGGTATATTTTTCTCCTATCAAGGTTGCCATCAGTCGCAGTCATGTGAGCTATCGGTATCCCCTGACTTATGTAAAAGCCTTCAACGCGAAGCCTTATGAAGAAGTAATCGCCGGTGATTTTATTTCTCGGTGTAATGACGACTTTGATGAAAGCGCGACGTGTGGGCTCCTCAAACATCATGGCAAGCCCGTTCCATATTCGCAAGGGTTTTGCTGTTCATGTGATGTTTGTCAAGTGCTGGGTCTATGCTCGAGTAACTCTCGATCCCAACGCCACTGTGACCTTTTCGGCCGATACACGGCTGCGTCATGCCTACGTCACAGTAAGGATTGGTATGATGGGTATAATATCGGCCCGTACCTGGTCGATTACCGAATCAGGCTTACGTTGAGTCAACAGATAGGATCCATAATCCCTCATAACAGTTCCTTTCCAACTAATCTGAAAACCGTATTGCTTCTTAGTCCCACAGAATCGGTGGCCAGTTCTGAGGAATTTGATGTTATTGCAAAGATGGTGGGAAGTCTATCACCTGACGCTCAACCCTTAGACCTTACTCATCACATATTCCTTTCCCCCCTTGTGGGGACAGGGAGTGACCGTGTTGAGGCGGGGTCGGCTGAGTGGATGATTCTGGATCAATCGCTCGTCACGTTGGATGGCCGCACCTGTGATAAAGTAGGGGTGGGCTATGAGGCCTTCGCGACGCAGTCCGATGCGTGCCGCAGGGCTTTCGGTAGCTGCCTCAACTCCCAGATCGATGACTACCGTGCAATGGACATGAAGGCTATTGCCTCGGGAGGTAAAGGTAAATACATGGTCAACTCGTTTGGAAATTTCTCCCTGCAGAGGTCTACTAATACCACGAGCTCTGATAATACGCTCTACCTCCGCTATACCGCGTCCGTTTCGACACCAGTACTGATTATCCTTACTCTTTCGGCAGATCACCTGCGCTACATTGAGTCTGTCTCCCCCGGAGTCATTTTGGACGCCAGGGTGTCACAGGACGAGGTGACGGTGAATACTAAGGGTACTGAGATTATCACTAAAATCAAGAACACTGGCATCGTCACTTCCCGCTTTACGGTATCAGTGAAATGTACTGAAAACGTCTTTCCCATTCTGGAGCAAGTTATTTTTCTCGCAGCTTTAGAAGTTCGAGAGCTCCACTATGATTTAAATGTCGAAAGCGTCGACAAAAACGGCACAAGTTTCTGTGAGGTCATACTAAAAGGTGCTCAAGGACATGTGGAAGACAAAAAGAAAGTTGTATTTAAGACCAAGGAAATAGAAAAAGACAGATTGACACCGGATGAAGATACTGGGGCAAGTAGGGAAACTACCCAGTCTGCCTCTGTGCACGGTACATGCGACAAATTCGGCTTTCTGAAGGGGCTCTGTAAACTTTGGGTTTTTATCGCCGTTAAGATAGGTAATAGCGCCGGAGAGATGATTGGAATTTTGGTTCTATCTATCGCTCTGATTTTTTTCTTATTTGCGGCATGTAAATGTGCCTGTAAAGCTTGCAGTAAGCATAGGGGTGCCGCATACCGCACCGACTGAAACTTGTAGACTGAGAGTCGAAGACAAGAATCGAACGGATGGAGGTAAAGCTTTTCACTAAGCAGAGACGTCAGTTTATTAAAATTAAATATTTTTACTATGTGCGCTGATCCCAGCGCGATGCTTCAGAAGTAACGGATTACTTTTCTCCTCACCTTCGCCTATCGATTAAGGAGAGGTGGAGCTACTTTCTAAGATGCAAAGTTAACAATAACTATATGCACATCGGGGCCCCTCTTGGGCGGTCCCAATTTGTTTCATAATCACAAATCCATTCCCAATTACGTTCTTTTTTATTTTCTATTTTTTAAAAATGTAATCCCTCCTTTTAGAGTCTATTAAGATTAACTCATTCCGTAAAGGACAACTGGGAGCATGTTTTCGATGTATATTGATAAAATCATCATCACTATACTTAATGTTCAGATATCCTTTAATTATGTTCAAACGAGAACGTATCAACCATCAGATCAAAGTGAAACGCAGGATCTCTGCTGGAGCACGTTGAATAAAAATGGGTGTATATTTATCAAAAATCCAAACTTTAACATCAGCTGTGATGGCCCGAATCTTTCCTTGAAGCCATTAAGCTATAAAAGCACCACTACTTTCTTGATCCTTTATGGCTAGGAAAGTACTCCTTTACTATTCTTTATTATTCTCAGCTTTTCCTTTAAGCATTACAAATAGCCTAACTATATTGCACGCGTATTAGCTGGGTGGTGTTCGAGCCCCCATATACGTTTTACGAGTCCTTGTGTAGGGTTCATATAGGTGGAGGAGAGAGCCCTTAGAGGATGCTCAATGCAACTACCACTTTTGTTGGAGAGCATCCATTCCTGGCTCCCACCACAAGGAGTCGACGAGCCGCGGCCGAGGGGGAGGCTTTTATATCGATCTCGCCTATCCCTCACTGTATGTGTAGCTTGCCCTCGACACTCGGGGAAACTGAACTAGGTGTTTTAGACGAACTGACGGTTTCCCAGGACGCTAGGGAGCGAGCTTCTCACACGAACTTCCTACCAGGGATACCACAGTGCCATACCACAGCTTCCTACTATCACTATTACCTGCAGCATTACCGTGATGCGTTCTTTCCGCCCACCGGTAGCAGGGTGGTAGGAAAAGGGCCGTGCTGTAACGCGACCGCGGGGACTATACTCGATCAGAGTGAGATGAAGTACGCAAAGAGACGCAACATCGGATCGACTAACGCCTCGGTCCAAGGCCTTTCGAAGAGTTTTGATAATCGGCAATGCTCCAATTCGTTTCAAGATTACACCTTCAACAAAGGAACCAAGAGCGCGCATTTGACTTCTGAAGCACTCCCATCCTTTAGAATGACCTCAACTGAGTTCGGGGGCTTCCATCACAACTCCGAAGAGGTGGATGACGCCGCATACATAGGGACCTCCCGTCGCTTGGACTTCTCTCATGCGGATTCACCCTTACCCGATCTTCGTGAGGGGGTGGCATGGCAGAGCAACCGTGGTGGTCCTTTGCTTTCTGACCATCCTCAGACGGCACCCCCAACGTATTTCTTTCGCACGAACGATCGCGGCACTGGTGTCGAGCTCCTACCCAAGTTGACTCCGCCAATACCATCAGGGATTAAGCGTTTGGTTGATTTTCCTTCCTATTTAAAGCCGAGAGGGCCTCAAGCAACACATTGCTTGAGTAAGCACGAGAGAGCTCTTACCGACGGGTCACAAAATGGTGGATCTATTGTCGAAGGTAGTAAAAGCAGTGCTCCCTAAGTCTGGACGATGCGTCAACTGTCCATTTGTAAAATGTATACATATACATTTGCACCGCCATAGATTTACAGTTAAGAAGTAAATATCTTATAGAAGTTACTTAAAAGTGATGATTAACCAATAGATTCTTTTTGTGTATGTGTGTCTCTTCTTTTCTATTGTTTACACCTTCAGATTCCTGAAAAGTATTTTTACTGCCGCATGCGGCATCGAGGGAGGAAAATCTTCTTCTTCTTTCCCCTCCCTCCTCATACCCTGCATCGACTTCTCTTAATAATTTTTTTTTCTCTTGAGGACCATGAACATTTGTTCAATTTAGTGAAAAAAGTGAGTCATACTATACAATAATAGTCACTTTGCAAATGAAAAAAAATAAACGCACGGTTAGATTCTCCACGGTCGCATCCGCATTCACAGGAAGGACTGTTCTTGAGGATGAGTCTAAGGTTCTCCAAGACTATTTTGTCGGACAGCGCATTGGTGAAGGCGCCTATGGCTCAGTTTACGTGGCCAAGTACATTCCCTCAGGCGAGATATTTGCCCTTAAGATATTGAAGAAGGATACACTATTTCACGGATTTTCCCAGATATCACCTGTGGATAGATCGGTATTATCAGAGGAATGCAAGTTGTCAACAGAAGATTTGCCGGACACATCGCTGACTCACGAAAACCAAGATTCACCAGTGTTGGGTACTGCCAAGGGCACTAACCTTTCATACAGAAAGGATATCATGACGCAATCCTTCTACCCTCGATTTCCCACCCGCTCGCAAAAGGCAGGCGGTGCTTTGTCAAATCAACAGTCTTTTATAAATCGTATGGAGAAGCTCATTATCCAAGAGGCAACTATCTCGCAATCACTGGAACACCCACATGTAGTAAAAGTTTATAAATTTCTGAATTCAACGGTAGCTTTTTACTTCATTATGGAACTCGCGGAGGGTGGGGAATTGTTTGACTTGATCCTCTCCAAGCGTTACTTCAGCGAACCCGAGGCGCGGCATTACTTTCAGCAACTTATCTCTGCAATTGACTACTGCCATAGTTGCGGCGTGGCACACAAAGATCTTAAGGCTGAAAATCTTCTCCTCGATCGTTACAACCGACTGCTAGTGTGTGATTTCGGCTTTTCTTCACGTACTGTGAAACGCAATGTAGATGATCCCGAGGGAAGCTCGACCATTGAACCGACTGAAAGCGGGATCGGTAGTGAGTTTTTCCAGGGAAGCGACTGCTCGATTGTTGGGACAATGCATTACATGAGCCCTGAGGCCGTTCTGGCATCAACCCTAAACGAAACAACTATTCAACCCAACTTTTGGGGAGAAGGGGCGGATGTAATGACGGTACCTCCCGAAAATGAAGGCTTCTTTTCTTCCGATTGTGTGAATGAAGGGATATCGAAGGCGGATTTATCGCTTGCATCGAAGAGCTACACCGCTGCGGGAGCGCCATCAAGGCCCCAAAAGTCGTCTTCCATCCACCTCACTGGTGTTCAATCCCCACAGCAAATTCCGTCAGTATCGCACTCAAGGCTATTAAGCATGAGCCGTCAAACCACAGCGAGGAAAAGTATCCCAAGTAACATCCCGAGTAGTTCCCTGCGATCGCAGGTAAAGCGGCACACCAGCCTTCCAAGCGCCGAGGCTACACACGCCGACGCCACCACCTTGGGAAGTCCATCTCGTGGTTTGTCGCTGCAGCCTTTGAAAGAAAAGTCGGATCGGAGCACTGGTGGAAAGCAGAGCAAAAGTGATGATCTAATCCCGTCAGGGCGGGATCTTATAGTGAAGAAGAACGTGGAGCTGAGTAAGAGAACCACAAAGGCCGAACCTTCCTCGCTTAAAAACGAATCGACTCCTCCTCCTAGCGCGAGAAGGTTGAAGCACCGCAGAGGAGATTCCAACCCACCTGGGAGCGCTCACGCTAGGCGTAGCAGCATTAGGTCTCCAAATCTGCGGTACCCGATGGGTGAGTCATCATCCTCACATTACATGGGCAAGGCGAAAAACCTTATGATGAACCTATTTTCCTTCTCACACTCAACTAAATCAGCCCAATCGAAGAAAGGCGCGGCCTCCACCCTTTATAACCCCGACGCGAGCATCAGTAAGCTTGCTCGCTCGAGGTTGAGTAGCAGCACCAGCATTCGCGCACGTCGAAGCCATCATCGACGTTGGGTGGCGGTGAGTGGGCTCAGCAGCACTCAGGGTTTGAGAAAGCTCTCCCATCAACGAAGGGAATCATCGCGAGGGAACCTTGGCGGGAGGTTGATTTCCAGTGAATCCGCCCCCGACGCTGCGGCTAGCGCCGCGAGAGAGGCGAATCAATCCTGCTCCTTCACTCACCTCCAGGATGAGCCAGGAACGGTGGTTTCGCGTAATCCTAATAAGGTGATTGTGGATCCGTTTCAACAAGACCTCTGGAGTGCCGGCGTGCTTCTCTTCTTTATGCTTACGGGGCGCCTTCCCTTCGACGGCCGCGATGAGGAGGAGACGCTCTATCTCATTCAGAATACCAAATACACTTGGTCCGAGGAGGAGGCGGCGCGCATCTCGCCGGAGGCACGCGAGTTAGTACAGCAAATGCTCACTTTGGACCCCATCGAACGCCCATCGCTTGATAACATCATCTTCAACAAGTGGTTCGCAAAAGATATAAATCTTGACGCAGACTTCCCGCACCGAAAAGAGGAGCTTCTTGCGGAAATGACGGAGCGGGGGCTCTTGGTGCCGACCTCACCAATCTCACATGGCGGATCAGTGTCGTCGTCTCCTTTAGCGCCCATCTCGCATCCGCTATCCTTTCTCGATTTCTCCTCCTCCAGCCACGTCGTAACACCTGAAGAGGAGCAGGTGATTGACACCGCGTTCAGAAAGATTGACGCCGACGGCTACGGTAAGATCACTCGCGACCAGATCCGTGATATGCTCACCTACCTCCACGGCGACGTGGTGGGTCCAGACAAGGTCTCCGAGCTTGTCAACCTCTTCACCGGCAATCCTGAAAGTAAGGAGATCACCTTCGAGCAGTTTCGCGATGCGTGGGTGAATAAAGACCTCACTCATGCCCCTTTTACCCACAGTAGCGAGTTTCAGCTCGCTAACATCATCGGCACGCAAATGGACGAGGTCGAGCGCCAGGTCGTGCGGCAGCTGCGCGTTGCATTCGACAGCGTCGACAAGCATCACTTGGGCGTCATTGATCTAAAGGAACTTAAAGAGGTTTTTAAATGTGCCAGGATCAACGTGGATGAGGAGGACGTTATTTCACTCATGCACTTCTTCCTGGACCAAGAGCTCGTTGTCAAAGGTAACAACTTCAAAAACAACGGTGGGGCCTATCTATTGCCCTCGAAGTATAATGCAATTGGCGGCAATGGGGTCAGCTGCGTTGTCAGTCCCACAACAGTCTCCAGGTCGCCACAGGTATACCAAAACCTTTATATCACCTTCGAAAACTTCGTGATGGGAATTACTCAACGCAATATACTGCTACGGCACCCACTCGGACGAAAGCTTGCCGCTGCCACAAACCTGACCGCCCTCTTTCATTCTAGAAACGTTACGGAGTGCGTCCGGCATGGGTTTCTCGTTGTGGGTCTTCAAAATGTTGTACTCGAAAAACTTGCAAGCATACCAGATCGCCTGCTACTCCTTTACTCAGACGAGATTGTATCCACGACGGAGAACATCTATTCCTTCCGATACCTGGGCTCCTCGGCGTTGATCAACAAATTGACGCTTTCGGCCGAGGCGTCGAAGCTGTTGGTGGCCCCGCAATCCCTCCCCGATCTGCAGCCGCGCGCGGCTGTGGCGGCGTCCACCCTAAACCCCTCATCCCAGTTCGCTCCGTGCCGGACCCTCCCAACCAACGCCGGCTCGCTGCCCAACAACCCCGCGCCTTCGATCTCCGACTTCCTCGCCTGCACGGACGCCCCGTCGAACCTCAACTCGGCGAAGCTGCACGCGAAGCCGCCGCGCGCCACCCAACCCAGGCGCGTTCCCGCCTCGCAGCCCACCACGGGCCTCCGACGCCCGCCCCACGCGGGGCCGCAGTCGAAATTCCACACGGACGGCGCCACGTCGCCGTGCAGCCCTTTGAAGGGCCTCCTCGTTGGGAAGACAGCGACCCGTCCACCGCCGCGCCCGACGCCGTTGGTGGCGAAGAATTCCAGCCCGAATCGCCCACGCCGCGTCGATCACTTCGTCCAGATGGATGCGGCCTCGAGAAGCGAAACGGCCTCTCCGCCCTCGCCGAAAAATGTAAAAACATCCAGTGCCGCCTCACCTCGCTCGATTCGAGTGAGCCCCATTCAAAGTAAACACCCCTCCCACACGCAAACCACCGCGGCCACACGCGCGCCCAAACAGCCCACGCCGTGTAGCAGCCCCAATCAACCCCAACAGCCGACGAATGAGAAGAAGAAGAATGGTTCGGTGCCCCTATGGTCTCGAACGCGAACGAGTGGGGGGACCAAAACGATATCGTCTCCCTCGGGTAGAGAGAAACATCTGGACCCATGCAGCCCTAATCGTCCAAAAAAATTAATTTCACCGATGCCAGTCACCAAAGTCTCGAAGATTGACTTTGATATGAATAACAAAGGCGACGGTGACAGCTGCTGTGGTAAGTTTCTCGATGACGAACTCGTAATGCCGGTTCTCGGTGATGGAACCATTTCCACATCCGGCGGCGCCTCCGTCGTGATATCGGCGATGGGATGGGAAAGGAATCAAGGTAATTCGAACTCTAAGAGAGAGGAATCACTGGGGGCGTACAGGGATGAATTCAACGACACGGACAGGAGTCATTCCCTACAGCAGTCAATAACTGTGTTCAATATGCAGTCTGGGAACCCGATTACCCATCGCGCATTATCTTACGGCGCCAACGTTCCCTTACAGCAATGCAATGACGTTTGCGATCTCGACATAATACTTGCCCCGGCTTGTATGGGGTACACTCTTGTTCGCATTCGCCGTATCCATGGGAAGACAAGTGTATTCCACGAAGCAGTTGATTTTATCTCTAACTTGCTAGAGCTTGAGCGGCAAAAGGCTGTTGAGGATACAATGCCAAGTGGCGAAAGTGAACTCATGTAACCCTTTATAGAAGTATACGTGGAAAACTTCTGGAAATAACACTTCTTTGTTGGAAATCATTTCAAAATCGATTAGTCAAAATATAATGATATTTATCACCGTATTTGCCTCATCTATATATATAGATATAGATATCGATATGCGTGTGTGTGTTTGTGTTCTAATTTTTGAGGAATATCTTAAGCATAATTGAGTAGGTGCTTTAAGCATGTCTCGTCTTAGAGATAGTTTTGTAGAAAAATACCTTAAAAGACTTGTATGTTTCTGATGCTTATTTGGTTTCTCTGACCAAGTAATTACGATATATCAATCTAACTTTTTCTTCTCTCAGAGGTGAAATTTTTTTTTGTTTATACATATATGTGTATAGTGTGGATATTACCCGAGAGGTAACGTGCTCACAGAGAATTTCTTGACAAAAGGCCCTAACTGAGGTACATTTAGTATAAAAGAAAAACGGCGATGCATTTCTGATGGATACTACAAACTCGCAAAGAGGTTCTCGAAGCGACCTCATGGTTTCTGAGCAGAAAGATGAACAATTCGTGACTCATGACGAAAATAGGGAAGGCATGAAAGATGATAAAATGAAGTGCCTTGAGCGTGAAAATCATTCATTACACCTGAACGTCTTAACAATGCACGAGGAGCGCTCCGAGCTACTCCATCATGACACACACACCTCCGTTAGTAAGGATCTTGAAGCGACCTTGAGGTCACAGGTTGCTTCTTTGCAGAATATGCTTGAGCAAGAAAGGCGGCGGCATGCGGCGAGGGAAAGTGAACTAAGGAGCGAGATCGAGCGGCTGCGTCTTGCCTTAGGTGAGCAGTTAGCGAGAGTAGACTCGTTAACCCCTCAGATGATAGCGTCCTCGTCACAGATCCGGGCCGATGTTCAAAGCACCTTGGTTGTACCCGTACTCACCAAAACATCAACTGATGCCGTGCTTGACGGGGCCTTGGCTAATCCTATTGAATCGAAGTCAATTCGCTCATCGTCGTCGAGCTTGAAGACTTTTCAAACATCAGGCGATGCGGCGATTTCTAATCCTAGAATTGCGCTTGAGCTTCCTCAAAAGGTGTCCGTCGATGATGATGCTGATACGTTAACCCTCGAGGAAGTGTCGGATGTGGAAAAGAGCGCGAAAGCCGTCAAGGGGGATTCCTTCGACTCCCAAGACCCGCGTCTGTCCTCTAATGGTAGTGTCGAACAGCCTGCCCAAGGTGGAAGCCAAAATGCTTATGCTTCAAATCAGTTTGTAGCCCCTTCGTCCGGTTTTGGCGATGCATATAGGGTAATGTGCTGGACAGCCAGCCGTCGCGATGAACGGCGAAGGCGCCTAAGGCAGATCGCTGATACAGAAAGCTGCTCCAACTCTCACGAGAAAACTAGTACATTGTCGCCGTATCCATTGCATTTTGTATCCAGTGCACCAAGTGGCGCCGACGAGGGCGAAGGGGCCGATGGCATACCTCGTCGTTTCACTTTACAAGACAGCAACATTAGTTCTGGCGTGCCCCTCTCGCCGTACGGTCCTGCCCCTCTCATGTCCACCATCAAGCCGCCACCACACTCTCATAATGCCATGGATCAAAACGCCAAGCTATCCGTGCAGCAGAACAACCCCAATCAAATTGGGGTCGAAATTCTGGATGAAAAAGATCGCACCTGGTACACCAAAGAGGTATTGTGTATGGCGCTCCTCAGCGCGATTCCCCCTAAAAGGGAGATTAGCAGCCTCGTAGACGTTGCCACGCCTACAGCGACGTCGGCATCGGTGGAGGTGGGCAGCATTCATAGCCCCAATTCATATCCTAATGAGGTTGTCGAGCAGCACGATAGGGACGTGCGGCCTGGCTTGGACTTATGCAATGATAAAGACCCTCTGAAAGGGTCTTTCGGAGTAGGTGCGTCATGCTTCTCGCTGCGCTCTTATTCCCTCTCCGAATGCAGTTCATCCTCTCACGATTCAGATACCATCCTCTCCTTGCTTAAATCCGCGAAGGCCGCGACAGATGATAGAAGCATGACGGCATGTCAAGTTAAAAAATCGGTTCCTGAGGCAGTGCCTTTTGAAAACATGCCTGCAACTACCCCCACTGCTTCCTTGGAGACTCCACTTTTGTACAAGGATGTCAATCCACAAGCCCTGCAACGTGCGATAGAGGAGACGCTGTCTTTTCACTTTCACTGCGCCGGCAACACCCCTGTGATGACCCCCGGGCTGCAGCCGCCAAAGGAGAAGAAACCGCTGCGCGCCTTTGCACAGGACAACAACACCGATCCAAACCTTCTAGCCGCTTTCTCCCCATTCCATAGGGCATTAGGTGCAAAAAAAATACCGAATGATATGGATTTAAGCCCGCCAGAGACAGGTAGATATCGAGACGATCAAGTGTGTATCCACTACCATGCGCCTGTTATCTTTAACCAAATTCGGAGCTTCTTGGGTCTGAATACTGACGTCTTGCGCTCTGCTCTAAAGGACTCCACGTGGCGACAGAGTATGAGTCCGGGAAAGAGCGGAACAATGCTTTTCTTTTTTGGCGATTTTGTTATGAAAACGGTCCGAAAGTGTGAATTTGCTTTCCTCTGTCAACGCTTCTTGCCGGGCTACGTACAATACTGCGAGCGCAACCCACACACACTTCTGCCGCGTTTCTTCGCTCTGATGACGATAAAGTGGCTAAAGCTTGGGGTGACAAAGCGGCTTATCCTGATGCAGAACGTGTTTACGACTCGCTATTATATCCACCGTTTATATGATGTGAAGGGCAGCACGGTTGGGCGAAATGCACTCCAACCTGGGAAGGAACCAGCCCGGACCGCCTACGGGGCGCTTCTCCTTAAGGATAACGATCTTCCCCCGCAACTTATGATTTGTGGACCGTATCAACGCGCCATTCTAATCGCACAGCTTCGATTGGATGTAGGTTTTTTGAAGTCCCTCAACATTGTCGACTACAGCTGCATGATCGGTGTTCGCAGCCGCTTCTTTCCGAGGGAAGAAGGCCCCTCCAAAACGACCATAATGAGTTGCAAGAACCCAACCACTTACGTGACGACGACCTCACTGATGGAGCGCGTGGACGCAGGGGTTCAGCCCATTAAAGTCGGTGCGACTGGTCATCAAAGCTCGACTTTGGAGCTCCCGGTCTCAGCGCCATCTGCCAATCATCGAAATGGGCAAAGTAATAGCAGTGAAGCTTCTCCTATAGACAGTTGCTTGTGTGTTTGTCTCCACGGCTGCGATGGTGGCCTGCTTTCCTTGCCGATCTACGCCCCAGACGACGATACAATCATGCGCGAGGAGGTATATTATATAGGACTGATTGACGTCCTCCAGGAATATAACTCGACCAAAAAGCTGGAAAATTTCGCTAGGGGGTTTGTAAATGACCGCACGCAACTTAGTGTAGTGCCCCCCAAAGAGTATGCAGAACGCTTGTGTCGTGTAATTGAGCGGATAACTGTGTAAATGTTCCCTTTATCCATTGTTCTTGTTTTTTTTCATGCAGCGCTGCTGTCACCTTGATTCTAGGCAGATTACTGAGAAAACGAAGTATTACTTACGTAATGGACGCGGGACGGAATTGCTTCTGTTGTATCACAACTGAGCAAGTTCAATATATAGGCGATTGGAAAAGGTGAAGAAAAATGCAATGCATGTATTACGTATTAATATATCAAATTATATTTATTCCTTGAGTGGCTTACTTCTCTTTATGCGTTATATTGACCCGTATTCAGCTTCTTTAATGGGTGTATGTCCATGTGTGTGTGTCATTTGGACTTTTTCTCTTTTGATCCCCCCTCTAATGAGGGGTTACTTTCTATCGCGCTGTATGCTTATCAAAGAAATATAAAGCTGCCTTGGAAGGGCAATATCTCACATAATACACAAATACACAAGTGCTGAGTTTGAAGTTTATGGAGGGCAAAGATTCTTCAAGCGATTCTCTTACCTGCTCCAAAGAGAATTACAATGAGAGTGATAGGTTCGAAAACAGCGCGGCTCAAAGCATCTTCACTAACTCCGCCTCATGCACTAATGATTCTCCTGACAGCACGTGTCTGTCCCTGGATCAGCTCAAACACCTGAAGCTCCTTTTCGAGGTCTACGATTATGTGCATGCATTGGCAAGTGGCATTTTGCCGGATACTTCTAAAAATTTCTCAGACAAGTACAGCAAAGTCCGTTCTTCTAATGGAGTCCGCTCTGAAGGGGAACAAACCCAAAGAAAAACTACTCGAAGTAAAAAAGTCAAAGCAGCAGCGAAGCCACACCCTGGTGGCCCCCATCCCAGGGCCTCTTTAATGAGTGGAGTTGAAAAGACGAACTCGATGAAAAAGAGGAAGGGAAGACCATCTTTTTACGGACTCCACTCTTCAGAAGATCTAGGAACCGTTTCGTTTCATCCGTACGACTACTGGGAGTATATATTTGGCTTTGATGAAGCGTCCTTGAGTGAGACAAGCCTGCCGGATGCGTGTAGCTTGTTGTTAATGAGAGGTATTGATGGAAATGTGTTATTAGACAATTCTCATGAAAAGAATCCTTCTCTGAATTCTGATCTGGCTAACATTATCGTCTCCTTACACAAACTTGAAAAAAACCAGCGCCTTATGGTGAACAAGATGAAAAAAGGGAACGCGAATGAGTTTTTGATCCCTGAGTCGATTCCTAATGCAAGGTGTGACCACAGTGAACTGGAGCAGGATCGGAAAATGAATACCAAAGCGCATGGAGAAAGTAACATACCTCGCCATCATACCACGTGTTCGCCTCTTCGAACGCAATCAATGGCGCATGGTGGCCACTCCAGTGCAGATGTAGTCTCTCATTCATCGAGCATGGCAGGAGATTTGTCAGAAAACACCACAAACAGATACCAAAGCGAAGAATATCAACTTATTCATCGGCTTCGGCGCCATCATGAGAGTTTTCAAAACGTTATAAAGAAGGAAATCGGGAAAATGCTGGATTGGAAAAGACTGAAATTGTTCTGTAAGTCACATGAAGAGATATACGACAGCAAGACCAATTGCAAGACGGCTGCTGTAGATGGTATGACCTCTCGCATAAATATGGATCACTTACTCACACTAATAAGGCCTCTGAATAACGAAAAGAGTCTAGCTGAGTGCGAGCACTTCGCCTTTGATGCCTTAGGTCTCCCCTCAACGAAGGGGGTTCCATTCCGTTTCTTTGCTTGGTTTGTCGTTGGTCCACTTTTTAACTTCTTTTTCCCAAGCTATGCGGCGGCGTCTTCACACACGCATAAGCCGATTTCGGCGCCTCCACCGTACTCTCGTTGCACTTCTGAAGGGGGTTCACCTGCTGATGTTGGTAGTGGCACAACATCATCAGCTGATCTCCTTCATGGCTCTTCTCATCTGAAGAATCATCAGCAAAATGGGAAACGAAAGATGAAGAACCCACCAAACAATTTTATGTCTGGGCTCATTCTGGGAGAGCCTCCAGTCCAGGGTGGTGTGGATGACGCACGATGCATTGGGCGAAGCGGCTTTTGCCCGTGGAATGTGCAGCACATGGAAGCGATTCAACAGCTCTTTGTTCTTATCGATGCGGATGCGGATGGGCGAGTCACCTGGGATGAACTCATCTTGTATGCCTTAAACACAACCCAGATGTCACAACCCGCTGATAAGGGGACCGCCAGGCGAGACCTCGTGCAGGGTAACGACGCGACGCAGGAACACGTCCCCTTCCCGATTGTGAAATTTTTTAACTTCACCGAGATGCCAACGAATCGGAGTCCGTGGCAGGCAACCTACCCTCTCGTTCACCACCTTTACCACCGAAAGGTATTCACCAAGCTTCTGGTCTGCGAGCAAAGTAGCGGGTATATCACGGCAGGGCCGGATGGCTTGGTGAAACTGTGGAAGCCCGATCTCTGTTTTTTTCGCCAGAACGCCATTTCGACGACGACTAATACCAGAGGAGGTACCTCTACTCGGGGAGCGATCCCCCAAACGGGTATGACTTCAAAAGGCGGATCTGCCCACCCTTCATCCCCTTCGGGGAATGTCAATCGCAAGGGTTTCACGGGAAAATATAGCAATAAGCCGCCTATCGTGCACATCCGGCATTTGTTAAGTGCGCGTGCGGCCATCACAGACCTCGCGCTCTCACCACCTTCCCTCGGTGATGCGGAGGTGCTGGCGGTCGCAGCGATTGACGGCACGGTGACCCTCTTGAGAGTAATCTCAGGTGAGGTGGTGCGTACCTTTTTGGGTGTCCGTTATAGTGAAAAGCAGATTGCCTCCACATCTTTACTGAAGAAAGGCTCCGCGGGCGATCCGAACGGCAGGACGCAAGGATCGGGCGAAGGGTTGACCGAGGTTAAAAAACTCACGAAGCCCGTTGTTAAAATTAGCCGAAGCGGGGTATGCTCGCCCTTTAAAGGTTCAGTCTCACGCTTGCCCTACACCATTCGCGCTTATCACGACGATTCCATCGAGATTTTCTTTGGGAAAACAAGCAAGTACTTCAAAGGACTCGTGGTTGTGCCACCCACCTTTGAGCATCTCGTCCGGCACGTAACGTGTCCCTCCGATCTTCTGCTGAACTTCGGGCTGCCATCGGGCGGTATGTCGCCCGGAGAGGATCCTCTTTCAGACCCCTCATCGGTGGAAAGGGGGGAGTCGGTGCCGTGGTTCGCGACTGCCGTCGCCATCGTCAGCTGCCCATCGCTTTTCCCCAACGCACGACGCCCTCGAGGAGGGAGGGATCGTCAAAACTCCACCCACTCAGAATCCCAGGATGACAAGCTCAAGGGGACGTCAAAAGTCCCTTCTGACCATGCTGATAAGCTGAACATCGCTCCCTTCACAGGTTGTCTGTTTCTGGGTTTTGAGAACGGCGTACTTCAGGTGTTTGCGGTGCAGAGAAACTGGTTTTCGATCCACGAGTGGTCCATGCAGGAGAATGGCTACCAGGAGCCGCCCTGTGTGCGTCGCCCGCTCTTCAGTGCGCGAATTCACTCGGCTGCCATCACTCGTTTGATTGTGTCGGAAGCCACTAATTCGATCTTTACGGTGAGTGATGATGCCACTGTTTGTATTCGTGCACTCTCGCGGCTTGAGGCACCGGCGCTGATGCAGTTTGGTAACCGAACGGCGAATCTTCATCGGCATGTTTCGCACGGCGTCATCCGCGGCCAGCGGGTGCCCTCCCCGGCGCGGACTCTTCTCGAGCACAATCCCGCAATAGGACACTCCAAGCGTGTTACTTGTGTATGCTGGAGTGAGCAGTATCGCCTGCTCGTGACCGGCGGTCGCGATCACATGATCATCTTTTGGTCCCCTTTGATGAATCGGCCGATTCGCGAGATCGACGTTCACAATCTTGCAAACTTGGCAGCTCAGAATCCTGTCATTTGCTCTCTTTCTGCCAAGAAAAATCTTGGTGCATGCGGCTATCCCGTTGATGTGAGCTTTTTCATTCGATCCATTCCTGGCTCTTCGTCGGAGAATGGCCTCGCCTCAATGGAAACACCACTGTGGCTTCTCGTCCTGACTAGGCAGCGCGTAATCTTTATTCTACACGCCCTTACAGGTCGGCTTGTGAAAGCATTAGTTGATCACTCCGCGTCGTCTCTCGCGCTAGGAGATCTTTTCGTAGCTCGTTATGAGGCCATGTGTGATCGTTTGTTGCTCGGTGGGTACTGTTTACGGGTATGGGATATAGAATCTGATGGCAGTACGTATCCAAACGGCTACAATGGGCACCGCCAGCCGATTTTGTACATGAACTATGTACCTGACTTGACAGCCTTTATCACGGCCGATAGGGATGAGATCTGGGTGTGGAAGGTGTCTCTTGAAATGGTGTGCGCAAAGTGTAATAAGAAATCCGCAAACTCGGACAGCGGAAACAGATGTAAAGATGGGGAAGATCCGTTATCACTGGGGGGTAATGACTCTAGCATTCTGCCTCACCTAATTAAAAGTTACCCCCTTGGAGACTGCGAAAATGAAAGCGAGAATGAAGCCAAAAGTAAACCTATGTGGCGTTTAAAATCAAAGGTCATGCGTTCGTGGCATGTTTCAGAAGGCGTCAGCGCCGTGGCCATGGCTAGCGCAAGCAACACCCTCGCTCGGCAGGAACAACACAATCAAAGAGAGCTAGCCAATGGGGAAGATTCCATGAACTCCTCTGCCTCATCGTTGTTTAAGTTGAAGGTAGGTTTCCAGAGCAACGGAAGCGCCGGCTGTGTCGAGTACACTCTCTTTGTGGCGCTGCTTCGGGAGGCTGCCGTTGAGCAATACGGTATCTTGAATGGTGCACCGCTTCGTCGCTTCGCATTGCAGCCACCTGCTTCGTTGACAAGGAGTCTGAACGCGCGTGTTGGTGAAGCAACCGACACCCTATGCTCTCTTTGTGTCGGCCAGCGGGAACTCCGTTCGCCGTCAAACGACGAGGCGAATGAAATCTACCAAAAGGCTCAGCAAAACTGGTCGGTAGGGGGCCGACGCCCCGCAAAGCACATGCCGTCGGTGTTTTTGTGTACAGTGTACAACAACACCGGTCCACAAGCCGGCCTCGCCTCTATCCATCACGTTCAGAAGGATCAACACGGTAATTGGGGCTGCGATTCCGAAACGATCAATGAGTCCTTGGAGCCATTGGCCGCGGGAACGCCCCTTGATCCCACACGTGGGAACGGAAAAGGCAAGAAACGTAGAGGTAAGGCGAAACATCAATCACCAAAGAGCCCTGCGATGATGACGAGTGCCACTGGCGAATCCGGCGACGCCAAGAACCTGAAGCCCTACCGACAGCTCGTTTTTAACGATACGTCGATTGCGAGTATCGCGACCGTCGACGCACTCGGGCTGATTGTCGTTGGTGGGGATGGTCGGCTTCACACGACGCGGATGTCCGAGCTCACCTCTCGCGCGTTGCCATGTTGGACGCTGGAGGAACTTCCGAACGACGCGCGCAGTTCGCGTAGAGGGAGTGAAAAGCGCGGTTCCGTGGAGTGTCGGTCGTCGCTGATCCCCTCTTTACAGGACTCACGCCGCCATCAAAGCCTTCCCTCGCCGCCGCTGCATCTCATGGCGATCTTCCACGGACGTCTCGTCCCACGGCCGACGCCGCTGTTCGCAAAAACGACGCCGAGCGCGGCCTCCGCGGAGATGTGTTTCACCACCCACGCCCCTACGACGCCCCTTCTCTCCTGTTTGCTGCCGATTTTCATGAAAGGAAGGAACTGCCCGTGGGGGGTGCATTTGGTCGTCTCCGGCCGCGATGACGGCCTCGTGCAGCTCTGGGATGTCGATCAGATGGTGGAGTGTTTCCGTTTTCAGGCGACGTGGGGGGTGGAGATTGCGGTGACGGCGCTGGATTACCAGTGCTCGAACCCGGGGGAGGCGTGCGATGGGGAGACGAATCCCCTCTTTATGGTTCCCCCTTCGATGCAAGAAGGTCAAAACGGCTTTTCATCCAACGACCACGCCGATGGGTTTCTCGCCGTGGGGGATCAAGCCGGCTGTGTGCTTCTAATCGGTATCAATAGCTCCTTGCTTCTCGCCTCGCGGCGCTTGTCTGAGGCCACTACATTAGAATCGTCGAAAGGCTCGCTAACGCCCTCACCACAAGGACAGCATCATACCCGATTACCACCAAAAGTCACTACTTTAGATATCCTTCCATCTATCTACAATGGCTCTCGTAACGCACGATCGAGCTCACGGACGTCGCTGCTGCGTCGTGCTTCTATATGGGGCAACTCGGAGCGGGCATTCATCGTCTTAGGTCGTTGGAATGCCCATGAACACGGTTCCGGCGGCGTGCGAAACGTCTGCTTTGCCGGGTCACTGAATTATTTCGAAAGAAACTACGCAGGCACGAAGTTTGAGGGTGAGAACTCGCATGATGTGATTTCTCAAACTACGTTAATGTCCACTCTGTCCCTCCGTTCGTCTAAAATGAAAGGGATTACAAGGAGACCTCCAACTGCTACCGAGCATCTACTAAAACACACAACGATCTTCCTTGCTTCTGCTGGCGCGGACTCCTTTGTGTACGTATGGCGATGGGAGCAAGGGCTTGGAGTGCAATGTATCGGTTGTTTTGGTGGCGATGACGTGGCGGTGTGGCCTAGAAACAGTATTGCCGCTTCCGGCCTATCCCCTTCCTTCAGCTTTCCACCGCATCCTTCCTGTTGTCAAGCATACGAGGATGCACGATGTCAGTATGTTTTGAGTCGTCTGATTGGGGATGCGTGCTTGTTCGTGGTATCACAGGCTGAATTGGCTGCTCTAATATCCCCACCCCAGCAACCGAGTCCATCGCATTTATGTCCGACAGATGGCAAGAGTGATTCAGCGAACATGCAAACGGAGAGAAAGTTCCTGAATGAAATCGAGAAGGCACTTCTCTTTATGTCCCGGGAAGTGCATGCGCTAGCTGCGGCAGATCCCGTCTGGAAGCCTTCTGCTAACTTATTGGAAAAAGACGTCCTCAAAGGACACGAAGACTGCACCAAGGCTCTCGAAAAGGGCGCGGGGGAGAGGTTTCGGGCGATGTCCATTACACACTGGCAAGGCGAATTGCATAGAAACAAGAAAAATGCCACAGTGTTTGGAAGCCACATTAACGATTATAATAGCTTCGATGATCGATACAACGCTCCCTCTTTTATTACATCATCTCCGTATGCATCTTATGTGTTCGCATTCATGCATGGGACGTATACAAATGCATCCCTACAGGAATGCCTGGAGCATACCGTTAGGATGGTGCTCGCAACGCCAGAAGGCCTTGCTGCTATTCACTCGGCCAGCAACAAGATGCACATATGGCTTCACTCGGTCGCGACAGAGGAATTCACTGGCATACTGTCCAAAACCGCTCTCAAAAGACGATCCGTACCGTTCGCCACCCATGATGAGAATAGCAGGGAGCCCAGAAATAGGGTAATGACGTTGGAGTCAGGCTCCGTGCCGTCGATATTGCCGGAACTAAGCTGTAGAGATGGAAGCATGAGACGAACAGGCCCCCCGACAAGGGCAGGGTCACTGGGAAGGAGAACTTCCACCCAATTCTATGACCTCGACACCGTTAGCTCCGCGGGGTCATTTGTGAGCACCCAAGACCATAGTAAGTCTACCTTGGCGTCGTCACGAACAAATAGCATATCCTTTGGCGCCGATTTGCACGCCAACCCCGACGAATCCCCGCTTGGGGTGGTCCCTCAGCAGCATGAAGAGGGCACCCTTCCCGAACTTGATCTGGAAGCCCCCCACGCGGAAAACAAACCCTTTCACAACCGCCCTCGGCTGCGTAGTAGCTATCTCAAGGTCCCGATGGGCGTCGCCGCCGCGCAGCTGAGCCGGGTTTCCAGCGCGGAAAGCCACCAGGGCGGCTGCCCCCGCAGCCTCTCGGAAGAGTCACGCAGGGCCACCCCGGATTCATTCATGGAGGGGAGTCAAAAGTCAAAGGCCGGGACGGAAAATTCCCTCCCCAGCGAGCCTCGGACCCAACCCGCTGTGACACGACGACGTCGTCCCCTCCTGCAGGAAGCGACGGTCCTCAAAGACGACTTTCTCCTCTCCTTGCAGAACAACTCCTTGTCAAAGAACACGTCAAACCAGGACACGCGGGACACCGCGGCGGCGACAGGACTGCAGGGGCTCGCCGCCTACGGGGAGTTCATCGCAGCAGCGGCGCGGGCGAAGCGGCCTAGAGGTGTGGAAAGCGCCGAGACCCACGGAGGGGGTGGGAAGAAGCCGCTCTTTGAGGATTTTTCGCACCGGGGTCGCCCGAAGGTCGCCGGGCGGGCTTTCATTCGGGAGATCCTCGCGCGTCACGCGAAGGGCCACGACGAGGTCTCTCAAACCTCCGCCCCGTCCTCCGTACAGGGTGAGGGCGAGGATTGGTATGACAAGCGTGAACGGCATCGGGAGCGGCAGCGGCGGGAGGAGGCCATCTGGAATACGCCGCGCGTGATGCAAAGTCTCATGACGTGGAGCAGCAGGGAGCCATCGGAGGTGGGAATACGCCTAGGGTGTGGTAGCGCCATCACCCCCGCCGGTTCAACACTCCATAAGGAGATGAATGAAGTGACAGAGTGCAGTTCAAGCGCAGATGGTAAATTCCAACCCATGTCGGTTTCGTCATTCGGCGTCTGTCAGGATAGCACTCCTTTCTCTGGATCGGAGAGGCCCGCCATTCCGTCCTTTATCCCGCTCTATCTCAATCTCAATCGATTTCCTTACGATGAGACTAGTTCAGATGGAAAAAGGGCGCAGTCGCCTGAAAGCAGGACCGACGGTAGCAAGCACGCTGCTTCAGGAACGCGGAGTACTTCCCCCGGTATTTCTTCCGTGCTTCCGCGCGGAAAAGCATTTTTGCAGTCTCAAGCTGAGAAAGAAATAGCCGCTATGCACTTTCATCGCACAGTCGCCTCCGAGGTGGAAACTATGAGGCAAAACATTCGAAAAGCTGTTCTTGAACGTGAACAAATCGACTGTGAATGAGGTAAATGGAAACTAATGTCATTTGTGGAACTTCTAGCCCCTTCCCTGAACAGAGAGATGGGTGAATCAGTTGCTGAATCGAATTAATTATCTTTGTTTTTATTTTTGAGAAGAGTAACGGAAGAGCTCTGAAATGGGAATCAGAAATAAAAAATGTGCTTAATAAAGTACTATTTTTATCATTTGGTAACTCATGCAAATAGTCATTAAGAATACCTTATTAAAAAAGGATGAATGAGCCAGAATCATTCTATATTTTTATCTTCTGTGTCTGTCTCTGTCAACAAACGTGTAAATTATGTAAATTAAATGGAATCAAATAGAATTTCATGTATGAACAAGTGTGAAGAATATTTTTTTTGATGATGATATTTTTTAGTCTTCAATTGCAAGCACGATTAAAATTGTCTAATGACGACCTAGTCAACAGGTTTACACGCTCCCGTATTCTGAAAGCGGGTGTCAAAAAATTGAAACATTATTTTTTTTATCATTCTGGTTAACATTTGAATGCTGCTTCCTTAAAATGAAACCTCTTCATTGGTCAATCTCCCTTTCCCTTTCAGCGCATATTTTTCCCCGTTTGGTATTAGGGAACTAAAAAAGGAAAGAATATTATTCATCTTAATATTTAGGAAAGATAATCTTTGAAGAATTTCTAGTTCATTGTTACCTTCATTTGATTTAGTTGTTGCTTTTGGATTGTTGGTATTCCTTATTGGCGCGCTGAGAGAAAAAGTTGAAAAGGCTGAATAGAAACTCACAATGAACCGTCTTTTCGGGAAAAAAAGCAAGGAACCAAAACCGACGCTAGAAGACGCGAGCTCGCGTATTGGTGCCCGCTCCGAAGCTGTTGATTCGCGCTTGGCAAAGCTCGATGCGGAGCTCATGAAGCTCAAACAGCAAATCCAGCACTCCAGCGGCATGACTCAGCAACGCTTAAAGCAACGTGCCGTTCAGATTCTCCAACAAAAGCGTCAGTACCAAAGTCAACAAGACGGCATTATGAAACAACAGTTTAACATCGATCAACTGCAGTTCACCACCGAGACGATGAAGGACACGAAAATCCAGATTGCCGCACTCAAGGATGCTAACAAGACTCTCAAAAAGGAACTCAAAAAGATTAACATTGATAAAGTTGAGAATATGCAAGATGATTTGGCGGACTTGTATGTGGAATCGCAGGAAATTCAGGAAATCATGGGACGTGCGTACGAGGTACCGGATGAAGTTGATGAGGATGAGATGCTTGGTGAGCTAGAAGCTCTCGACTTCGACACCGTGAAGGAAAGTGAGGCCGACTACCTCTCCGATGCGCTCGCCATGCCGACACAAAAACTTCCAGAGAAGGTCCCGGCGACGGGAAACAACCCAGTTGACAATGACAAACAGGAAACGAAAACGGATCCATACAGTCTTGAAGCTCAACTTGGATTGTAGCATCTATATATATATCTATAGATTCACCTATACAATCAAAGGGAGTCTTGCGTTTAAAATTAGTCGCTTTTACTTTGTTGCTATTATTTTTTTTGATGCATTTTTTATCGTGGCATTTCTTATTTGCTTTCTTTCAAATAATGAGGTGATCTGCTCTTAATGGGACATGGATTGAGGATAGTGAAAAATACATGAACAAGTGACCCTCGTTGCAGACGAATTATTTTTCCATTTAAAGGGTTCTCGATATGATTTCTGATTTGATGTACATATTTTTCCTATTTATATATATAAATATATATAGTCCTACTGATATAGAAGGAAAAAACAATGCACCCTATCAATATACTCAACTGCAAGAAGTATCAATGAACCATGCTTTCGACAGTTTTGTAAGCAATGGTATTCATTTATGATTTAGAGCGACATTCATATTAAAAAAACGGAAAACAAACCGGATCTTAACGAAATGTGTTTGCAACACAATCTTCACTCTCATGCTGCATCAACTCTTTGCTAGAAAATTTACTTTTGGATTTGGGTGTTTTATGAGGCTCTGGAGTTGAAGGAGTATAATAGAAAGTGAATGCGATCTAACTCTTGGAATGAATAAACCATTGGGCGATGACAACACCACCGTATTTTGGCATCTCAGCAAATGTCTTCAAGGGCCGCTCGTCGTGCTTCACCATTCCCTCAGTCATCTTACCTCTGGTGAGGTTGCTAATGCCGTCGCCTCAGGTATCACCCTAGAGCTGCTGTGTTTAGATGGAAGACCCTTAACATCGTCTGTAGACGAAAAAAAGGACTTTCTAAATACAATGGGCTGTGAAATTTCCACTTCCCTCACTGGTAATATGCATTGCCGATATTCATCTACACCCCTTTCCAGTAGTGATGACAGATGGATGCGTGAGGACGGTCAAAAGGAAGTTTTGGAGGTATCGAGTGATTTTTGGCGCCGAGAAAGCATCATAACTAACCTGAGTTTCTTCTCTCCCCTTTCTACAGCGTCCAGCGTTGTGAGGTCTTTATCCAAGGGGGGAGCGCAGCATCTTGCTGTGAGGTGTCAAATAATACTTATGGGAAGTCTAGGAAGCGCAACAGAGTGGTCAGGTGTGGAAGAGAATGATCCGCTCACGAGCTCTTTCGAAAAAAAGGATCCAATCACGTCTGCAGGCGCGAGAATCGAGTGCAGTGAAGGTGGTAGTGGTGGTATACGTTCGTGGAATGATGATTCAAATCAAATCGCGTCTTCCACACCCGGTGCACTTCTGATGTCGGCGTGGAATGCGATGAGGACCCCCTGCCCCTTACCACATTCGTATTTTTTCACGTACACCCCTTCCTTAGTCTTCTCAAGTGAATCTGATATTGCTACGCATCCAGATCGCGCGGAGACGAAGACGGCAGCGGGATTGGAGGGGACTGGTGATGAAGAACAGCCCGTGGTGATGCCGCTGGAAGCGGTTGCATCGCCTGCAAAGCCTTCAGAGCGTGTGGGGATGAATCCTACAGAGGAAACTACTACACAAGAGATCCGAATCGTTTACGTACAGCTCGCCCCTCCTATTTCAGCCGCATGCCTCTCACACCTCTTTCGTCAATTCCACACGCCGTTGCTTTCCACGGATGCGCAATATCGTGGGATGCTTCCAGGGGAGGAAGCCCTTTTCGGTAGCGATCCCGTCAATCCCGACGAATTCGTCAGCACAAACGGACTGCATCAGGGCGAAGCGCCGTACAGGATTCGCTACGCCCCCGCGAAGTCGTTTCACGGCGAAACGGATTGCCGATCCGATAAATCCTGCCGTGATGGAATGTTGGAGAGCGGAATCGGGAGGGAAGGGGAGGAAAATGAAATGGAAGAGGTGGGATTGAGAAAGTCAGATCTGGAGGCGCTCGCGTGCCTCTTTCCTGCTGTGCATCACGGGTGTGTGTTTGACGATTCCAACGCCTTCGTCGGGCATTGCCAGGACGTGCAGGATCACCTGCTATGGTGTGAACATCTTCCACTTTTTCCGCTGCAGGTCGTATCGGAAGATTCCCCGCCTTTACCTCCATTCTCATCCAATGCATCCCTAAGTGGAGGCTTCAGAGAAGATCTCATCGCCCGCAGGCATGATGCCTCGGCGTGTTTCTCTTCAGACGCGCGGAGGGAGGTGAGTTCGAACCTGGAGATGACTTGGCTACATTCTGCCGGTGAGATTGGAGAGCGCTTTCTTAACTACGCATTAGGTAAAGCTTTGGATGATTTGGATAAAAGAAATAGCACGACGACAACCTTGCAGGTGCCTCTCAGGACAGTGCACTCACGTCTTCTCCACTGGTTTACCCTACTATATGACGAGCTTGACGGATTGGATGGAGGGAGCAAGGGCAAACGGATTGGGGAGGCCTTCAGCTTTTCAAATATCTCTTGCAGCGAGGAGAAAGCCGAGCGGAAAGACTCGTCAAGAGCCCCTCCCAAGTGGGTGTGTTTTCTAACCGCGTTGAGGGTTGCAGGGAGGATCGCGCGGCGGCTTTCCACGACGGCGGCCCCCACCCCTGCGGAGGAGATGACTTCTGCTGACAAAGAAATGCGAAGGATGCCATGCGGCGCTTCTTTGCCATGTGAAAGTTCCCCTTTTGTTGATTGGACGTCACTTAGTTCGGTTTCTGAATTTGTTTTCTGGTCAGTCGAGGACTACTGGGCCTCTTTGTTCGCTCCAGTGACGGCACGATTGCCCGAAATGGTAATCCCTGAAGATGCCGTGAGGCAAATCTGTACAGGATGCGAATGTGTAAATCGTCATCCAAATGCAGATAAGTACCAATGTGCATGCCTCACACGCTCTTTTGAGGGTCTCTTTTGCCGTTCCGTGCACACATGGCTCAGCAGCGGTGATGTCGTCTCCACGATGCCGCTCCTATCTAGACAAGGTGCGGACTGTACTTTACAAACCAAGGCGCACAATACTTCGAATGCGTTTCGATGCAATAAAAAGGTAAGAATTGAGCCCTTCCTCCAAGATGACCATAAAAGGGCAACAGCGGATCGCAGTTCGGAGGAGAGCGGAAAAAATGGGATAAAACTAGTTGCGCAACGTCTTGCCGCAGCTCTTGCCGTTCCTTTAGCTTTCGTCATCACAAAGTATATGCGCCGCAAAGAAGTGGAAAGTCGGCTGCTGCATCTCTCGAAGCGATGTGGAGGGGTGAGAAAGAGCACCAGCGCTGATGCTTTTTCTAACACTGATGACGATCGCAGTGCTGCATCAGTGTGCAGTACTCCCTCTCCTCAAAAGAATAGAATCGGTGAGGAGCAAACCCCCATCGATTACAGAAGCCTCTCCTCGTCGGATACTCATGTCGGCAAGCCTGGCGGGGAGATAGTTGCAAAGAACTTCTTCTCAAGTGGTCCTGCGCATTGCACACATTTGACGGAAGCCACAGACAATCAAAAAACATCATTTTTTAGCGAGGGGCACCATTTTCCAAAGGAACGAAGCTGTAGCATCACAACGGCGTCGTATGAAAGCAACGTTGGGGATGAGGGAGGTATCCAGCAATGCGCAAAGTCCAATGAAGAGGAAGAAGAAGCCGCTAACCATCATCAAAGGTTTATGGATTTACTGCTGTTACTTTTCCTCAACCCAACCACGAATACTTTAGGTGTCCCATCAACTCAATAACACAACATAATATTAATATTGAACCGTATCATAGTTTTCTGCTATTATTATACTACTTGATTTTTATATCCAGCTGCTTAGAAGACTCTACCACACACCGCGAATTACTCCCCCCCAGCGAGAGCATGCAGAAGGAGGGTCGGTGTTATAAATTAATGACGAAACCCATTTTTTTACCAACCTGTCTTTGTATATTTTTTTCAGCTTCTATCATCCATTGCATGTAACTATCTATCATTTCTTCTTTTTCCTCGCGTGTGTGTGGGTATTTGTCTGTCATCTAAAACCTAAAGGAAAGAGCAGCCCGCTACAGCATTAACAATGGTGAAGCCCCATCTTCGGCACTACCAGGTCGTCGGCCGCGAGACCCCCTCGGAGAAGAACCCCGATCCGACCGTCTACAAATTTGAGGTCTTCGCGCCGAACTTCGTCGTGGCGAAGAGCCGCTTCTGGCGAATGATGCGTCAGAAGAACAAGGTTAAGTCCACCCACGGTGACGTGCTCTCCTGCAAGGTCGTCAAGGACGCAAAGCTGGCGGCGCGCAACTACCTCGTGGATATCGCGTACTACAGCCAGCGCTGCGGTTTCACGCGGATGGTGAAAGAGTTCCGCGACGTCTCCAAGGCGGGTGCAGTGAGCCAGGCCTACCACGACCTCGCCTCCCGCCATCGCGCGCGCTACCACAACATCGAGCTCCTCGAGGTGAAGAGCATCCCGAATCACGAGGTGCGCCGCCTGAATATCTCGCAATACCACCCCGCGAACCTCTCCTTCCCGCTGCTGCAGCGCCGCCTCAAGGCCGCCCGCAAGGACCGTGCGATCTTCGTCAAGAAGGGCACCAAGCGCGCCGTGGTGCAGTAAAGGCCACGCGAGTGAAGGGAAAAACGAGGACGACGGAGGGTCGATCTGTTTGGTTCATTGGCCTGCCTTTCATCTAGTTGGATGCTTTTCCACTTTTTTGGTTTCATTTTAGATTAACAAAGAAATACTGAGGGAACAAAGGTGAAGCTTCATGTCTGTGTGTTGAAGCTACGTAAGGAACACTTAAGGGGTTAATGTCATCTGATGTCTCTGATTAGAAGTCTCTTCCTTCTCTCATATTCTATATTTTTTTCTGTAATCTCTATGTGTGTATGTCTGGAAACCTTTCCCGTCTAAAATACATACATATATGCATATATAATTCATATTTATATCCTAGCCACCAAGCCATACCCTAATAGGTAAAAAAAGCATAGCGAATATACCAGGCCCTTCCAAAGAACCTCATCGGTCTTTTCTTTGCATTGCTAGAGTTTTCTTGCGTTATAGTTAGTTAGCGACCGGTGTAATGCACTTTTCAAAGCCTACTCTTCACACCTCGATACTATGCTCCTCCAGCCCCAACGTGGATGTCGTGATGACGGCTCGCTTGATAAGACACATCCTATCCACAAAGAATGGTACCTATTCCAGCTCTCATGAGGAATCACAATCAACAGAGAAATCAGATGATTCAACAAAAGATACTCTGAGGAGTGAAAATGGTGGTAACGACTCAATTCATTCCAGAATGCCTTTGGAAAATTGGAGTGGTGCGCATTCAACGTCTGATCCAAACTCACTTGAAAGCATTCAACGAGTCCTGCTGCGGCTGCAACGGGCACGCGCAGTTCGGGCTGGAACCCTATCCCTGGAAGAGGCTGTTGGTTTGGATGAAGCTGATGGCTTTGAAAGTATGAAGGAACTAACCACATTCACTGATGTTGATACTCTGCAAAGAAATGGAAAAGAAGACCGAAGCAACGGTAGCACCTCGCTCGGCCAAATTACCAACTCAAAAGGACGTAGATTATTCAAAAAGAATAACCAGACGCCGCTTCTCGACTTGGAAAGCAACAATGGAAAGAAGGAAGCGTTAGAGGAAGAAAAGAAGCGTTACATCTCAAAAAACTTACCGTTGTGTGAGTGGGTAGAAGTTCCTGCTCCAAGCTCCTCCAACGAAGGACACTCGTTACCCTTTGGGATGCCTTCCACCGTACCCTTGCTTTTTGTCTATGAGTTAGCAGCACAGGAAGAACTGCTCGCTTCCCTCCCGCAGGAGGATGGAAATTGCAGAGGAAGCACTTCGCATTCCCATAAATCGGAGGAGAAGCCCCCACAGAGCGGCGCGGCAGTCTCTCATCCTGGAGGAACTCTCGTCATGAACGATTTACAAAAAGCGTTTTGGGAAACGATTAAGCCGGTGCTAAAGCCCGGGGTGATGGAGGTGGCGGTGGTATGGGCGGTAACGGATCCGCGTCTGTTGGCGGTTTTCCACGCCTCGAAATACTTCTACAGCCACCCAACAGTGGAAAAGCACGGAGCGGCGGGCAAGGATATCGGTTTGAAAGCAAAGGAGCGAGCAGAGAAACGGCAATTGAACCCGCACTCGCATCCGCCGAGTAGTATGGCGTCGAGGGTTCCCGGGGGAAAGGGTGTGGGTGGGCAGCTAGAAACTAACGAGGACGACGTCAAAGAACAACTGTTTATAGAGGTGCGCACAATACTGCCTCGGATAATTATTTACATCAATGACTCAGCCTTTGAGGACCAAAAGACAGCACTTCTTTTTCCTGATGGGGAGGAAAAAGAGCAGGACGCTGTTCGGGCGCTTTTTAAGCAACACGTCGTTCCCTTTTCGTATCCCCAGCGCTCAGGGATTTCAAGGAATGCAAATTCAGCTTCAGGGTCCTTTCGGGGTCGCAGCGCCAACCGAAGAAACTCACACACGAGCTCAGCAGGTACCACCAATCAAGCGCTTCCGAGGGGAAGGCACTCCTCAAAAATGGCCGATGGCGGAAGCGGCGCTACCGCAGCCCTTTTCAACACCGCCACAAGTCGACTGTGCGATGTGCGTAACATTAATTTCTTTGCGTCCCCTGTTTCCAGTCTGGATGAGATCTTATACGACACGTCCTTGCTGACCTCCCCGACCCCGGGTGCCGCCGCCGCGGCCTCCATGGCGCTTTTCGTCGCGAAGCAGCGGTGGTTCCTCGCGCAGGAGTCCTTTCTCCTCAAGCAACGGGCGGAGTCCTACGTCTTCGGGACCCCCTCGTGCGAGGAGGCCCCTTCCCCGCCCAGCTCTACGTTGAACCCCTCCCTTTCTCTACTCTTCCCGGTTGACGAGGCGGAGGCCACGCCGTGCCTGAAACGACACCTCCTCCGGCCCTGGACGTCGTGGTCACCGATGGAGGCGTGGCTAGGGGGGGTTCCCACCCTGTCCCAGTTCTACGGCCTACGTTATGGCCTTGAGGAGGAGCGCGGGGTCCCGGCCCCTCCACCCCCTTCCGCGGATGTCACAGGGGGACCGCACCGGACACGTCGGGCTCACGCCCACGGCCCCCGCTTTGACCTTACTGGCCTGGGGCCTGTCACAGAAGGGCCGCAGGCCGGACTGGAGCGGTCGCTGGCCGTCCCCTCGCGTGGCCCAGGGGTGTCCCGGACCCCACCGGCATCGGTGTGGCATATCACCGACGTCGTGCAAGGG